ATCGCCACTCTCCACATCTCCACTCTCCACTCTCCACATCTCCACTCTCCACATCTCCACATCTCCACTCTCCACTCTCCACTCTCCACTCTCCACATCTCCACATCTCCACTCTCCACTCTCCACTCTCCACTCTCCACTCTCCACTCTCCACTCTCCACTCTCCACTCTCCACTCTCCACATCTCCACTCTCAAGACTTTGTATTAAACGATACCTCTTGCTGAAAAAACAGCATCATTAGAAAATAGGTGTGTGTGTGTGTGTGTGTGTGTGTGTCTTTGTAAATCTCAGCTAAAAGCTCACCTCTTTGCACTGGCTTTTAATACTAGTTGAGCATAACATTTTGATATTTGTATGTGTTTTACTAGTGCTGTCAAAATTATCGCGTTAACGGCGGTAATTAATTTTTTGAATTAATTGCGTTAAAATATTTAACGCATTTAACGCATGTGCAGAATGGCCCGCCCCATACGTGCCACCAGTGGCAGCGCCAGGGTATGGCTGGGGTAGGCTACACCCATACCAAGAAATGGCTTAGCCCCACCATGAAAAATGATGTTAAAGGAAGCAAAATAAAGTCTGCCAACTAGCACGGAGTAAATTGCACAGACAGCAGTTAGTAAGATTGATTTCAGTAGCCACGGTTTTGAAAACTTTTGTCACGTAGTGATCGTCTTCTCAATAGAACATCTTTGATAACGGCGTGGTGTTGTTGCAGGAAGTCCCGACGGAGAATACTTTTGCTGTAGTACAGGGGTGCACATAACTGGTACGCAGGTTATGTGCGTAATCTCTCTGAAATGCGTACCGTCACTTGTGTCACAAAGCGCATTTGCGTACCGACGTACTTGTGAAGCTTTTCCAGAAGGCGGTTAGATCACCGGACGACAGAGTCGGTCTCCGTGTGCACAGACAGGGCTGCTGTTAACGTCGGTCTGTACAACGGAATTGTGCCAAAACTACGCCAACCGGCTCGTGGAGGGAGACTCCCCCCCCCTTCACTGGAGAACTGCGCTAAAACAGCTGATCACAACGTTCACACTCTGTGGTCACGAAGTACTCCACTAGCCCCCCCCCCCCCGTCGACTTTCCTGAAGTACTCCCCCGTTGATAGAAATCAACACGTAATGAATTAAGACCCCACGGTTTGATGATTGATAGGTGTGTGGGTTGTCTTTCATTTTGACACGCAGAAAAATGTTATAATAAACATAGATACTGTATGTTAAATGGATATATCCGCCTTCTTTCATTTATCTTTCCATTCCCACAACAATATACATAAATAAATGGCATATTTTGGACATAGTTCGAATGGTGATTAATCTGATTAATTAACTTTTAAGCTGTGATTAATCTGATTAAAAATGTTAATCGTTTGACAGCCCTAGTTTCTATATGTCTCTAGTTATTGTGCTTTTTAACTTGTTTTTAATTATTCTTTTATCAATGTACTCCTATTGTATTATTTTATATTTGTTCCCATTACAGTCAACTGTTTTAAATGTGCTGTCTGTGTGTGTGTGTGTGTGTGTGTGTGTGTGTGTGTGTGTGTGTGTGTGTCTCACCTCAGCCAGGCGGGAGAACTTCCTCTCCGGTATGATTGGTCGTCTCCACAGGTTGTTGATGCTGATGTCGTGGGGCGGCGTGGACATGGGGGCCTCCAGGTTATCGTCGTAGCTGAGGGCTCGTCGGGTCATCCCGATGGGAAGCCTCATCGCGCCCATCCCGGGGCCCTCGATGGCTGCGGACACAAACAACAACAACAAGTCAACAAATGCTTTTATCTTCTCTTTCTGTTGCAGAGAGTGCGTCACTGTGATGCAGAGCGAGGCAGAAAACAACTGAAATCAATGCATTGGAACGAGGACAGTCATTAACTTCCAACGCACCCTTCAGCTGCATGCTGTTAGGTGAGTGGGAGAATACTGTATGTCCACAGCACACAGGGAGTGACGTGCAGAAGGGATGGTGTGCTTTTATTGGCTAATCGTTAAAAGTTATTTTTGTAGTGGTTTATTAAAAGAAATAGACTCTGTGCTAAGAAAAGGTTAATGATACTTGCACGCTTTGCTCCATGACATAATCTAAAAAGAAGCTTTGATTTTTTTGTTAAAGATTAAATAGCCTAAAGTAAAAGGATAACGTTAAGTTAGCAAAGTTCATCATGGTCACATGACGCCATCAAGGTCATTTCCCTTTGCTAAGACCAAAATACACTGCTGTTTTCAACCAGTGAGAGCAGGGCACATAATAAACACCAAACACTGGTAACATATGCAAATGGGAGGAAGAGTTGCATCCCTTACCAGCTTTAAAAAACATTGGTAATTTATTGATGGGCTGGAGAAATGTTATCTGTTGTGCGTGTTCTTCCAAAATAAATCTCACCTGGTATGTCCCTCGAGCCAGACATGATTTCAGTAACGAGGAATAAGATCAACCGGGAGAGGATCTGAAAAAGAAAGATACAGAGATGTCTATTATTATTGTTAATAAACATTTATATTAGGGCTGTCAAGTTAACGCCACTATTTATTTTAACGCGATTAACGCATGTGTATTGTTTGTCCTCGGCCGCCCCGTAGTTTCAGAGCGCATCGAGTTTAAAATACCATCTACAAGCTGATGCTCACAGCCCCGCTCCTGCCGCCCGCTTGCGGCAGACCACACTTCCACGCTCACCGGGTTCTATAGGACTTCACTTGCTAGTGGAGCCTCGCAGATGGGGGTGCTGCAACCCCCTCAGCATCCCCCCCTTCCCGCGTCCATTCGCGATGTCTCGCTGACCCCACACAGCAAGCAGGAAATGAACCCAGATCACACTGTCCGCTCCTCGCAGCAGCGAGCCCTGCGACGTCCCGCCAACACGGCCCCCAGACCCCACGCAGCATTCTCATCTGTTTGTCCTTACTGGGGTCATTTCCTGGTTGCTAACAAACGCCATTGCAACACATAATCACTGATGTTCTGCTGTAACGGTGGTGGACTCATCAGAACAGAGTGGGCGAGCTGACCAATCAGAGCACAGTGGGCTCACAGGGGGGGGGCAGGAGCTCCAACAAGCCGTGTGGGACAGAGAGTGAATACACATACTATACAGAGAAGCTGTTTGAGGAACCAATGTGAGTTTGGAACATTGCACAATTAAATCTATTCTAGTCGACCTGAACAATGGAAACATGATCATAGAAATGGCCATGACATATTTATATATTCATTTGACAGGGACAATGCACATTGATTAACATTTCTGTAAATGCGCCAGAGTTAGCCAACAGGCTATTTTTCATCTGCAGTCTCTGGACAGATGTTGAAAGTCATCCTAAAAACAATAATGTCACTTCAAATGACAGGTAAATACAATCAGTAAATCAACATTCAACATAGATGCTTATATTATAATAAAAGCATATATAAAAACAAAAATAGATATTCACAAAGCAGACAGATAGCAACAGGTCAAGGTACATGTGCACACAGAGCGTTGTAATGTACAGATTGTGTCAGTGTTGACAGAGCTGACTTTCCACTAACCATGTTTTTAAGTTAGATTTAAATAAACTGCAGGTGTTTTGTTCTCTAATCGTTACTGGGATTGAGTTCCACTGTTGTGCAGCTTTAAAAGAAAAAGAAGATTGGCTGAATGAACTCTCCCTTAATGGAACAACGCAGTCTCCTCTTGCTGCAGCTCTTGTTGACCTAGTTACAGGTGTGGTGATAACATGTCTGAGCGGAGGTGAGGTAAGGCTGTGTATTATTTTGTACACGAGGCAAGCATTTGAATATCTAATTACATTTTCCCAGCTCAACAACTTATATTTTGTGAGTATTGGGCAATGATGAGAATAAACTGACTTCTTATCTAATATTTTAAGTGTTTGTTTGTATAATGATTCCAGGGGTTTAAGAGTGGTTGTACGGCATGTGAGCGGGCTGTTAAGCAGTAGGTGATATGAGATAGAACCATAGAGTGCATCTCTGTTGACAGAGGCGGCTTTAAGTAAAGGATTTAAATACTCTACCTTTATGAATGTGTAACGTTAGACCGACTGGTAGAGTACAAAGATTTAACTCAAGCTTTTGTTTTATGTGACTTTCATGAATAAAAAAAAGTGATATTCTTAACACAAATTCTATTTATATAGCATCCAGCATTTACTTGGTCACTTACAACATTCTCTACATTATTTATCTTTTTGTATTTATAGTTGACTTCATCTGCATTACTTGCATTGTTCTGGAAAGGGAGCTCATCCTGTTAGAACCAGCTCACTGCAGGGTTTCTCCAGATGATCACAGGCTGCATTACGTAACCGCTGCTGCGTCAACAGGGAGCCTCACTGACACCTGAGCTTTACTCCAAAACAAAAGCTTACATCAGGTCGTGTTGGGATGATACAGCAGGCCTTGCAGTTTACACATAAACAGGTTGTTTGGGAATTGCATGATGAAGACAAGGCTGGTTGTCAATAGTTGCAATTAAACATTTTTAACGACCCTTTCTAAAAACAGGTACATTTAAATGTAGCAAGTATGTTAACATGAATGTTTTTTTACCATTGTATCACAGAATAAAATTAAAATAAAACACATTCTTCCTTCACTCACTTTAAAAAAGGGACACTATTTGCAAAACTACATTGAAATATTCGGCTTTTAAGGTATTTCAGAAGGGGGGAAATGGCTATATTACTGTCTGGTGGCTTAAAAACCAACATAATATCCCAGTGAATTCTGCAAATCTGAATCACATAATAGCACATTTATTTTCCAGATTATTCAACAGGCTTGTTTGGTGTGAAAGGAAACACACATTTTTCCTTTAACAGGTGTATTTTAACCGATTTTAACTCATGCCGAATTGAAGAACGTCTACTACACACAAGCAAAATGTCTAAAAACAAGGTTTACTAATTAAATACGTCAGCTGAGAGCATATGCATTGTTAAATTGTGTATTTTCCAGGTGTAGTTTGGTGGCAGCACGCCGGGTCGACGGATAGCGGAACCGGTCGGAGCTGGATGAAGGACAAGATGCCCCATCACCTGAGGACTAAAACCGGTTGACAACAGGATGCTCTCAGCGTAGTGTGTCTTGTTTTCACTTACCAGAAGAAAAGGATTCTTCAAAGAAAAGACTGGGGCATCTGTGACCCTGCAATGTCGACTGGACCGCGTTGAAAACAATAGAGAAGTCGGATAGCAGCCATTATTATTTCCGATAACTAAAAAAGCTGCTTCCTTGCTAGATTACGTTGGTTGATCTCGCTGAGTATCGCGAGAGTTGAGTTTGTATGCAAGGCACACGATGATAGATAGATGGAGCAAATATTCTCGTGAAGATCAACATTATTTTACTTTTTTATAATGTGGGATTTTTTTCTTTACCTTATCTGTCAGATTACATGGTTATTCAATTATATATATTTATTTTGTAATTTTAGGACATACATTTGTATTCATAATAGCAGAGACAGAACTGAATAACATTAATGTTTTTATTTTTATTTTATCGGACACATTAAATGGTTATTCCAATGTACATCTTTATTTTGTATTCATATAGCAAGAGAACCACAGGTTAACTGAATAACATACATTAATGTAAATACAATAACATCTAAAATACTTGTTAAAAGAAAGCTGTTGAATATTTCAGAGAATAAAATAAAAACATTCTACAATAAAATATGTTAATCTAAATTAATATAAAAGATCTTTGTAGATTTTAGATTTGGCAGTTCGTGCAGAAATGTGCGCTGTTGTCCAGGGACAGTGCAAAGATTCACTCTCTGATTAATTTAATTGAAGACCAATCTGCTTTAAAGGTCCCATGTTATGGCCATTTCTATGATCATATTTCCATTGTTGAGGTCTACTAGAATAGATTTAAACAGTGCAATTTTCCAAAATCACATTGGTTTCTCATACAGCATCTCTGTATAGTATGTGTATTCACTCTCAGTCCTAAACGGCTTGTTGGAGCTCCTGCCTCCTACACTGAAAATAAAGGTAAATGCACGAGTTACTGTGCAGGAGGCTGTGAGCTGTATCATTAGTGGCTGTCTGTTTCCACCTAGTGGCTGGTTCAGGGTTTTGATTAGATCTTTACCATTGGTCCAGTAGTGCTGGTTGTTGAACTAACTCTTTAATGCTATCTATTTTTAAGCATCATTTTCATATATGGACTGTATTCATCTTCTATCTTATATTTATTGTAGTACTTGCTTTCCTTGAAAATTATATTTATAGGCATTTTCTATTTGATTTGATATAATACGCCTATAATTATACAGTTACCTCACATTATAAACCTCACACAAAATAACACATGCATGAATAAATGTCCTAAAAACAAACAAACAACGCAATCGTAGTTATAGAGGTGGAAGTAGTAGTAGTGGTGGTGTTAGTAGTAGTAGTGGTGGTAGTATTGGTAGTGGTATTAATAGTAGTAGTAGTGGTAGTAGTAGTAGTTGAGGTGGTGGTATTGGTAGTAGTAGTATTAGTAGTGGTAGTAGTAGTAGCATTAGTTGTGCTAGTAATAGTACGTAGCAGTATTAGTATTAGTAGTTGTGGTAGTAGTACAGGGAGCTTTACTTTTTAATTGTTTTATTGTATTTTTTAACTTATTATGTTTATGTCACATAAGTACACTGAGGCAAATTCCTTGTAAAACCCATTTAATAACAACATAAACAACTTTTAATAATCAGGGATCCTCTATGTCTAAATGAACTGACTGTAACTGTTATAAAAGAGATAAATTGCTTACATAATAAAAGTATCCATGTTGACGGTGCAACAGGTGACTTCCTGTCAGCTGAGCCTCCTCCCACCTCCACAGCAGTAGTTTCGGGCAGAGGAGCGGAGCGCCTCCCTCACTTTCTCAGTCTTTCCCTCCACGGAATAACTCCTCCAACCGGACTTTCCTCTCCAGTTTGCCAAGCAGAGGAGGAAGTAAACCCGAGGTAGTTTAACTTTTCCCACCGCTGGAAAAACACGCACAGGGGAACAGCTTGATTCGCCAACTCTTCCAACTTCCAAACTTTCTTTGGTTGTTCTTATTTTTCCTCCCTTTTTCGGTTTTGTGGATCCATCAAGATGTCTGTGCATAACACCCAGAAGACGACGACGACCTACCGGACCGTGAAGGTAGCGGCCTCCTCCCCGGATCCGGTGGTGAGCAACACGGTGATCTCGTCCAGCCCGGTGTCCCCGGTTCCGTCCGGGATGAACGGCTTCGAGACGGTGCGGTACCTGATGCCGATGCAGCAGGGCATGCAGCAGCAGCAGCAGCAGTCCTACATCCCGGTGCAGCAGCAGCAGCAGTCCTACATCCCGGTGCAGCAGCAGCAGCGGTCCTACATCCCGGTGCAGCAGGGCATGGTGCAGCAGGGCATGGTGCAGCAGGGCATGGTGCAGCAGGGCATGCAGCAGCAGTACATCATCATGCAGCAGCCCATGATCCAGCAGCAGCCCATGATCCAGCAGCAGCCCATGATGCAGCAGATGGTTTCCCCGGTATACCTGCAGGGAATGTCCAACCTGAGCGTCAGCAGCCAGGACACCACCGACCACATATACCTGCAGAACAGCAGGCATGAGGTGAGCCCCATGGACAGCTGATTAAAGCCTTTTATTATTGATATTCTGTGTGTTTATAATGCAAAGTTAGGTCTACTATCTCAAAATAACAATAACAACATTATAAAAGTCATTATCTCAGTCAGTTTCTCATTGTTAAGAGATTTTAGGAAAAAATGGTGATACTAAGTCATTAATGTGTGGTACTAAGTTATTATTATGAGATCCTAAGTTATTGTTTCGAAATACTAAGTCATTTTTTGAAATGCAGAGTCCTTATTTGTATGCTTAAGTCATTATTATGTCATACTAAGTCATCAATTTGCAATACTAAGTCAGTATTTTGAGAAATCAAGTCATTATTTATAATACTGAGTCATTATTTTCTAATACTAAGCCATGATTTTGAGATATTAAGTCATTGCTTTGTGCTATTCTATATATTTCTTATATGAAGTCATTATTTTTGAGATTTTAAGATATTATTCTGTGATACTAAGTCATCATTTTGAGTTTCTAAGTCTTTATTTTGCTCTACTACTTAGTCATTATTTTGAGTTGAGTTAGTATCTCAAAATATATGTAATAATACAATTTTGGAGATGAGAACACGTTTATAATTAGCAGAATATTCATCTGGAGTGTGAGAAAGAGTCCACACACCAGGTGCTGATCCCAGTGTGCTGTTACATGTCTGAGATGGTTTATTAGTGTGTCAGTCACAAAGCATTTGAATGCATGATGTAACAGCTGTCAGAAAAAACCTCAGCAGTGTGAGCATGTTTACCACATCACAACGACTTCTGACACTGTGCATCACATTCTTACAGTTAATAGCCAGAGATAAATATGTGAATATAATAAATATATGACCAAGATAATGTTAAGACTTTTGCCACGACCCCAGATGCACATTTTAATACAGAAAGGAGAGAATTAAATGTGTTTATATACAAAATGATTGATTAAAAGTATAAATCTGATTAAGTCATGATGAATATAATTGTTAGTTGTGGGCCTAATGCTGTCCCTGTTAGGGAAATAATTATCATAGACGCCAAGATGTGACATACAGGACAAACCTTGACGTCTGTTTACCTCCTTTAAGGACACAGGCTGCTTCAGCCAATAATGTTATTGTTCCCATTCTGTGACCGGTCAATACTGGGTCACAGATGGTCTGTATTGTGGGTACACTGGGACACTTCCTTCTCTGGTGTCTGAGGACTCCAGGGCATGACATATGCAAGGCCATAAGTGGCGGAAGCTGGTAACTTAGTGTGCCCAAACTATCTAAAGCTATCTTATCAAAACATGTTGATGACTCTCTGTGGAACCAGTTAAATGGGCTAGCAAGAGACAGGCTCTCCAGAATTGACGTGGCAACCCACCCGTGCAGTCTCACCGTGACTGCCGTGACTTGTGATGTGAATACTCTGGCCAGAAACTCCAAATAAATCACAGTGGTTTGACATCAAAGCTCCGACTCTTCCCGTGTCTCCTTCCTGAGTCGGTGACTCCACTGCATTACTACACAGAAGTTTCCTCTACAGTCCCCATGCCTTTCATTTCAACTGCTGTCAATTAAATGCTACAATGCCAAAAAGTATTCTTAATAAAAAGAGAAACACAACATCTTTCACAGTTAGGAATATTAATTTAACATTTGACAAAGGGCCGTTTGTAACTTTAAGACTATATAAAAATACATATATAAATATAAAATAATGTATTATATTACATTATTGGCTCTGCATTGAATTATTATCGGATAGGGTAATAACTTCATAATTAACTACGTCTGAAAGCAGAAGTCTAGGGCCAATAATTGCAAGTCTCTTCAAGGAGAATGTCACAAAATGATTTAAACAGAAAAGCCAAATTCTGGAAAAAAAGGCACAATAAAAAAAAAGGTGACATTTTGAAAAATTCTATGAAAAAAGGCATATTTGAGATGCATTGTGCTCCATGTATGGGCTCCTGTAAAGCGGCACGTAACCGTATAATTAATAATTATATTCTTTGCAAGCTCTTACATAAAATGAAGTCGCGGGTCGGATTTGGCCCCCGGGCCTTGAGTTGTATTCATTGATTACTCATCACTCGAGTCTCGCCCTGTCTGATAAAACATATTTTCCTGAATGCCGTGCCCTTCTCCCTCGGGAGGATTTACAGTTGACAACATCCAAATGATATCTTCCTCTGTGATTACAAATATTCCTTCCACTACTGCTTTAGTTTAATCTCTCTCCAGTATCGAGTGCAGCAGCATGTCAGGTCCAGCTAGATTTCCCTTTTGCCTGCTTCTTGTCTTGATGTAGTTCAGGTTTTGCAGTTTGGGTAATTGCGAGCTAAATGCTAAATGACGTGTTTGATAGAGACGTTGTGCCACACCTGGTCTGACTCTGCTAAAATGGCACTCCCTCACATTTGAAGAAAAACACATATTTCTACCTGACACCACAGCTGAAATAAACTGCTTAACTTTCACTTCATTTGTCTTTTTACATTTTCAGGGCACCCACAACTGATTAATTTAGTCTCTAATCTCACTTTTTAAAAGTATTCCATGCCCTGCAGGATTTCTTCATTCTGATTGGCTGGAGAGTAATGGCTGCAACTAACAATAACATTTCTTATTTAATTGGTTAGTTGCTCTATAAAATGTAGAAACAT